TGAGGACGATGCACCTTCTTACAACCAGAGCGACAATTTTTATAGGTACATGGAATGTCCGAACAATGTGGGAGACCGGAAGAGTCTTCCAAATTGCTGCAGAAATGAGAAAATACAACCTGGAAGTGCTTGAAATCAGCGAAACACATTGGACCCAGGTTGGACAACAACGACTGTCTTCAGGAGAACTTCTGTTATACTCCGGTCATGAAGAAGAAAATGCCCCACATACACAAGGAGTGGCATTGATGCTGTCCAGAAAAGCACAAAATGCACTTATTGGATGGGAATCTCATGGACCAAGGATCATCAAAGCCTCCTTCAAAACAAAGAGAGAGAGGGCATTACAATGAACGTCATCCAATGCTATGCGCCTACCAACGACTACGATGAAGACGCTAAAGACCAATTCTACGATAGGCTGCAGTCGATCTTCGAAAAGTGCCCAACCAAAGACCTGACCATTCTGATGGAAGATTTCAATGCCAAGGTTGGAAAGGACAACACTGGATACGAAGACGTCATGGGACAACATGGACTGGTAGAAAGGAACGAAAATGGTGAGAGATTTGCAAACCTATGTGCCTTCAATAAACTGGTCATAGGTGGCATCATATTCCCACACAAAAACATACACAAAGCCACTTGGGTTTCAACGGATCACACTACACAGAATCAAATCGACCATATCTGCATCAACAAAAAGTTCAGGAGGACGATGGAGGATGTGAGAACCAGAAGAGGAGCTGATATAGCATCCGATCATCATTTGCTGGTTGCCAAGATGAAACTATTACTTAAGAAGCACTGGACAACGGCGCGGACAACATCACAAAAGTTTAATACGACCTTTCTTCGAGATGCTGACAAACTCAACAAATTCAACATAGCCCTCAGCAACAAGTTCGAGGCCTTTCATGACCTACTCAATGGAGAGGGGACTACCATGGAGAGCAACTGGAAAGGTATCAAGGAGGCAATCGTTTCAACATATCAGGAGGTTCTGGACCAAAAGAAGCACCATCACAAGGAATGGATCACTGTTGGTACACTGGATAAGATTGAAGAAAGGAAGAACAAGAAGGCAGCAATCAATATCAGCCGAACAAGAGCGGAAAAAGCCAAGGCACAAGCCGAATACACAGAGGCAAACAAGCAAGTGAAGAGGAGCATCAGAACCGACAAACGTAAATATGTGGAAGATTTAGCGATGACAGCGGAAAAGGCTGCAAGAGAGGGAAACATGAGACAACTGTATGATACAACAAAGAAACTTGCTGGAAATTACCGTAAACCAGAAAGACCAGTGAGAAGCAAGGAAGGCAAAGTAATCACCGACACTGAAGAACAACGAAACTGGTGGGTAGAACATTTCAAAGAACTCTTGAATCGACCAGCCCCACTGAACCCACCCAACATCGAAGCAGCACCCATGGACCTCCCAATCGACATTGGCCCACCAACAATTGAAGAGATCAGCATGGCCATTAGACAAGTCAAGAGTGGCAAAGCAGCGGGACCAGACAACATCCCGGCAGAGGCACTGAAAGCAAATGTAACAGCAACTGCCAAGATACTCCACATCCTCTTTAGTAAGATTTGGGATGAAGAACAAGTACCAATAGACTGGAAAAAAGGACTTCTGATCAAGATACCAAAGAAAGACGATCTGAGCAAGTGCGACAACTACAGGGGCATCACTCTTCTCTCAATACCAGGAAAAGTCTTCAACAGAGTATTGTTAAACAGGATGAAGGATTCCGTGGACGCCCAACTTCGAGATCAACAAACTGGATTTCGTAAGGATAGATCGTGTACAGACCAAATCGCAACTCTGCGGATCATTGTGGAACAATCAATCGAATGGAATTCACCACTCTACATCAACTTCATCGACTACGAGAAGGCATTTGATAGTGTGGACAGGACGACGCTATGGAGGCTTCTTCGACACTACGGCGTGCCTGAGAAGATAGTCAATATCATACGGAACTCCTATGATGGACTAAACTGCCAAATCGTCCACGGAGGACAACTCACCGACTCGTTTCAAGTAAAGACCGGTGTTAGGCAAAGTTGCTTACTCTCACCCTTTCTCTTTCTCCTGGTGATCGACTGGATTATGAAGACGTCAACATCTGGAGGAATGCACGGGATACAGTAGACAGGCAGGATGCAGCTTGACGATTTAGACTTCGCGGATGATCTGGCTCTTCTATCACAAACGCAACAACAAGTGCAGGAGAAGACGACCAGTGTAGCAGCAGTAGGTCTCAATATAAACAAACGGAAAAGCAAGACTCCGATACAATACAATATGCACCAATCAAATTACACTTGACGGAGAAGCTTTGGAGGATGTGGAAACCTTTACATATCTGGGCAGCATCATTGATGAACACGGTGGATCAGATGCAGATGTGAGGGTGCGGATCGGCAAAGCAAGAGCAGCATACCTACAACTGAAAAACATCTGGGGCTCAAAACAATTGTCAACCAACACCAAGGTTAGAATTTTCAATACAAATGTCAAGACAGTTCTACTGTATGGGGCGGAGACGTGGAGAAATACGAAAGCCATTATCCAGAAGATACAAGTGTTTATTAACAGTTGTCTACGCAAAATACTTCAGATCCGATGGCCAGACACTATCAGCAATAAGTTACTGTGGGAGAGAACAAACCAGATTCCAGCAGAGGAAGAAATCAGGAAGAAGCGCTGGAAGTGGATTGGGCACACCTTGAGGAAATCAGCTAATTGCGTCACAAGACAAGCCTTCATATGGAATCCTGAAGATCAACGGAGAAGAGGAAGACCAAAGAATACATTACGAGAAATAGAGACAGACATGAGAAGAATGAACAAGAACTGGATAGAACTAGAAAAGAAGGCCCAGGACAGAGTAGGTTGGAGAAAGCTGGTCGGCGGCCTATGCTCCATTGGGAGTAACAGGCGTAAGTAAGTAAGTAAAGCGGCTGTTAACTCACATTTTCATAGAAACTCGAATTCCATAACTGTTATAATGTCTCGAATTTCAGAAAACAAGGGGACAATTATTATTAATTAGCCAGTTGCTTCAGTATTTATTCTTCTCTCAGACACCCATAAAAGCTTTAAACCATACGTCTTATTTCCACCAACCAAGATGAAAATTTTATCATCAAGCATGATCGACGCGGAATTCTAAGTATGGCTAATTCTGGACGTCACACAAATGGCTCACAGTTCCTCATTACACTGGCACCAGCTGAATGGATGGATAACCACTACGTAGCATTTGGGTAAGTTTTGGCACTTTGGAAATGTGTTGCGATGACAGAATTACAATTTTAGTTTTGAGCTTCCACCTTTTGTGACGTTTGCAAATATAAACTAATTGATATATGGTGTTTATTTTCTTTTTAATCAATATCCTACAACTTTTCATTGTTAACTGTACAATAAAAACGTGATAAAGCCTTAGTGAATTCAAATGAAGGATTTCATAATTTTGTTTGCCTCATTTATTTCTAACACTCTTCAAAAAATCCATACCTTTATCATTTTTGATCAGCTTTCAGCAGGCTCACTAGGGAATCGACAGCGAAACTTCCCTTTCCAAATTCCGTACTATTTAACGAATACAAGACCAACGAGAAATAAGTACTAGATGGTGATAAAAGTACATTTTCCTTTGGTACTTCTCAAATCCCGGAATCGCAAAACAACTACGAGTAAACACTACGTAGGGTACAACAGAGACCCAGTGAAACCGTTTTTACCAAGTTATTTATCAACCTAACAAAGAGGTTATAATGTTTGCCCAGGATGTTAACGAGGTGATTTTGTCAGTTACACTCACAAACCTTACATTAGTTGAATTTTTCACAAAGTGTCTATAATATATAATCTTTTTTACCGTAGATGATAAACATTCAACAAAAATAAATGGATTATAAGGTAGTATATTGTGGTATCTGTTGAAATACTGTATGTAGGTTACATGCATGTTCTTTTTATTACCCTGAAACCTCAGGCAATAATTCGATCAACCTCAAGTCAACATTATTCTATGGTTCGCTAGTTTATGTTTTTTCCCTTTTACTAGTATTCATATTACTTGACCACAGATCACCAAGATATACAAATTTACTTAACAAGTTCCGATGTTTAGCTCTATTGTCAGCAGTTTTATCTAAAATAACATGTGAACATTGTGACGAACATTAGTGTTGTTGATTTTCTGTTTTAGAAGTGTAATAGAAGGAAGTTTAACTCTGGATAAAATGGAAGAGGTTTCAACTCAGTACGAACGTCCATTGAAAGATATATGTATTGAAGATATCAGCATTGTAAATGCCAACGACTTAACGACTAAAATTGTTTAAAAATGTTTCGAAAATACTAGACGCAGCGTGTACACTTGTCACTATAGCACATTAAAAATACAGTGCTTACACATATCTTTTTAACTTTCTTTTAATGAGGTTAGAAAATTAATCGTCAAACAAATAAGGTATAAAATAGAAGGAACTGAATAACAAATAGTGACTGAAGTGAACGAGAACACAAGTGAGGACAATCGAATGTATTTGAACACAAAATTACAGAACATCTTAGTAAAATCTGAGAACCATGCAGTAAATACTTAATTTGCAAAATGTCAATCAATTGTTTCAAACTTGACTGTTCCTTTATAATGAACATCAAACTGATGCTTTTTGTTCGGAATTACAAATTAATGTAACTTAACTTTTCAAAAAAAAGAATTTTAGTCAAATTCACAAAGGAAAAGGTACTGTGATGAGATACGTTATGCCGGAGTACACAATGAGATAGTCATGAATAAATAAAAACCACTTTGTCTGCTTAGGTGTAAAAAGAACCACGTAATTATATATCATGGATGAGATGAGTTTACTGTAGCAGAAGACGAATTCGTGGATATTGTCGCACGACGAGTGACCAGATATATGGTTAAGAAAAATACTAACACAATCAGAAATATCACAGTGATTAGAAGGAATTTGTTTTGGAGAATTCTAAAAAAAAGAGAAAATGAAAATAATCTTGGATCACAGATGAGGAGAAGGTACATAACACAATTACTAATAAGTAGGCTGCTCACATATTATGAATTTTGTCTTGAAGTGTATGTATGCTACTTATTTGAGTTACACCACTTAATATTAAGCAGATGACTGTTAAATGCAAATTAAAGAAATTCACAAAGGAAGAATACTAACTATAAACGATTCATTTTTCCCTAATACAAGATAAGGAAGGGATGGAGTTGTTATTGCAACGTTTTGTGCGACATTACTACTCAAGGTTTTCTATGATTTGAACTGGGATCTAAGCATTGTGATTTGTTAACTGTCGTGATTGCTCTGTGTCTGTTACTATGCTATTAGCCTTAATAAGAAGTGCTCCCCAAGACAAGGGAGTTGATAAATAACACTCGACTATTTTTAAACGAACAACACAATCCGCACAACAATATTGATCCTTTCCTGACATCCGAAAAACGTGTACTAGTTCATTTATTTTATAGTATGTGATGAAAGATTATAAAATTAAGATAATAATTGGTACAAAATAGATAGGCTCATGTATGTATAGGCACTGAAATGTTTGTCAAAGTGAGATGGTATCAATTCATTTGAAAAAATCACAATAAATGAATCAAATATACATAAATGTTTAGAGGTTATAGTTTTTATGTAATAGAGCAGTAAAAATGACCCATAGAATGTGTTTTTTAACTCGCTTTTACCAACTCCCCCAACAAAATATGACATACTCAGTATTTATCACAACGTAAAACCTGGCAAATAACTGACTGCCTATTTCACAAAAGTTCTAAGTAACTATGAACAGTCCATATAGGTTTAGCCTTAAATAACCCTGATAGCTTACCACCACAAATACCGAAAGTTTATTTCGCTACATTGCTTTTCAGTTTTCTCTCAAGAACAATGGTCTGAGAGTCTAGCTGTACAGAACTATGTTCTATAACTGTACGAAGCCTCAATCTATAAGCTGGTAAAACCAAAAAGATTAGGAAATATTACACATGATTTTCTGTCTCTTCTAAATCCTAACGAAAACTCTAGATCATAAATGTGGATGCTATGGGTAAAAAAACTCATTTCTGAAAAGAAAAACTGGTCAGTAGATAAATTAAATGTATATGGTATGAGAAACAACTAAACACTAATGAAAAGTTTCAGTCTCTAAACGAAAGTGCCTATGACTTGTTGGAAATATAAGAAATGATAGTTACCTGCGAGTCATAACTGAAAGTATTCGGGAGCTCTTTTTCAGATCAGAATCTGCCTGACGAAGCTGTGAAAGTAAATTGAAGGATAATAAGTTTTCACAATGCTTCTGATTAAAGGGACTGTAAAAAGCTACTTAATAGAATGAATTCGTAAAGATAGTGTAACTTCTAACCACCAATTAACAAATATTTTCAAAATTATTCGGGGAAAATGCACAGAAGTGCAAACTACCACGGAAATTCTATTCTCTCGAGATTTTAACTAAATGGCTACAAGTGTCAATAAATCCTCGGAGTAGTACACAAGGTCATTGAAGACAAAAGAAAGATGAATGAGGTTTTCACATATATAAAGCTAATGCCTCTTGAACTACATTACTAACCGCTTATCTTAAATATTGAAGGGGTTAGATTTTTATCACTTCGTTTAAATGAGATGTGGGGTAACACGATTTTATCACTAGAGGTGTCCACATTAAACCTACAGTTACGCTCTCATTACGTTAAAAGATTAAGAAAAAATATAGGATTATCAGTGTTTAGTGGTTGATCAAGATGATTAAGTAAGCAATGTTGACGTTAGGCTGGAACTGATAACAAAGGATGTACACCATCAGAACAATTGGTAAGTGGCGGCTGGTAAAGCCTGATTCTGGTTATTCAAATAAATCATGGGACGTTGTAATACAGACAATATACCACTTTAATTTTTGACGAGAGATGTGAGTCGTGCTCCACAAAAAAGTTCAGGGTTTTTAGTATATGTATACCATAAATCCACCGATATATGGTTAAGTAAACGTTATTTAACAGGTTGTCGAATAATAAACAATATTATTCAGTTATCAGAGATGTGGATAAGAGAAAATTACGAATTTCTTTCAAAATAATTGTGGCTATTGATTCATAGTTAACTCTTTTTACTAAGAAAAATGTAATATTGTCTAACTTTATCAATCATCTATTAACTTGTTATGCTTTGAAAAATGCAGTTTAGAAAATATATATATATACTAAATTACAATTAATTACCAAACTAAATTACAAATTTTGACAAGAAGCAAACTGCTAAATAAGTCGATTATAATTAAAATGGATAAAAATATGATTAAAAACTGAATTAACTTACCTTGTCTCTACTTCTTTGAAGTTTTTCCCGTTGCTCGCTTAAGTCCTGTAGTATATGACCACCTACTTCTTCTGTTTCTAAAGCGACTCGCACACCATCTTCCAATTTGGTAGTAGTCCGAGATATTCGTTCAGTGTTGCCCAGAAGCTGAGCTCTCATGTCTGTATCAAACAAAACCTCTTCATGTAAATTATCCTCGTCATCGAAACCGTATGAATCCTTACGGTCAGGACGCCGAACAGCATACCGCGGTCGCCGCTTGAAAACGTAGAGGAAATAATGGAAAGGAAAATTGGACGGTACCTAAGTATATTGCATATTATTTAAAGAATCGTGTAGCTCAGCACTAAAATAAAATATATGATAAATAACCGAAGTCTATAATAAATGGAAAATAGTTATTACTTCAATATACAGTTCATACAATTTTCGAAAGATAGTTTTAAGAGATCGATTAACTTCGACGCAGTTAACTGTGTTTGAAGATCTGTTTAATAGATAACATAACCACGTTAACGAGTGTTACAGACGTGTAGTTTACAAAACGTATAGCATTCGTATGCATTCAAAAAAAACTTTTGGCATTGAAATTTTTTGTGAATGGTATATTAATCAGAATACATATGATTTTTGACTGTGTCGGTATACATATTATAGTCCAACAGTTTCATCAACTAAACCTTAAAATGACACAATAGCACAGAACGAGCCTGTGCGCCTAAGATAGATAACTTCTGGTGTTCAACATTACAAAGACAGCGGTCTTAAAGACTGACAGCCAATCGTTTCATGAATTAGTACGATACAATGATCCGACTACTTTCAACATTTATATAACCTAACTGCATCGTTCCACACTGATTTATTAAACTACGGTTGAGTATGTCCTAAAGCCACCTTCATAATTGCTAGTATACAATTTTATTAACCAATTAAAATTCCTCATCAAAACTTTGCGGGTGAAATATCATATAATTCATGCTCGAATTTGACGTAATTCTTAGACTCAACAACAACACAGTGGAGTGTCGCCTGATATAATTTTGTTGTAGATCTTATACTTTGAATGTACCACCACTACATGTCTGTTCACCACCATGAGGCTTTCCTCAAACTTTTACCTCTCTATCTTCCGAATGTGCATATATCGTGGTGATTTTTCCCATATTGTCTTCGCTTTAGTTTACTAATTATGTATAATAACAGTGTGTGCTTATGCAGTTTTATGAAACCTTTATGTTTGCAACAGAGGTAGTGATAAGCTAGAAACAAATTTAGGTTTGAGAACTATAGAATTGGTCGGATCATTGAATGTAATTAAGTGGCTGCTATTTTTTAAACGTTCACGAAGCTAAGGATCTGTCCGCGTATCACCGAAGGATTTACTCCAAGCGCAATTCGAGCCATGCTATTGAGTTGCACACTACACAAACCTATTGCGAGTCCTATTATTGAGAAGTTCGAGGAAAACCACAACAGTAGACGGTATATGTTCTTTGTCTATCCTTAGGGGAAACAGAAAATGATTGTCAAAGACACCATACATCAACTATATCGCACGATGAAAACATATGTCTGGAGTGAAAGACTATCCGAGAACATTTATGGATGAACTTTAACAACAACTTATCAATGTTTAGAAACCTTTTAATGTAATTTTTCAATATCCACGCATTGAATCCATACATTATTGTATATTTTGTGATGACAACTTACTGTAATCAAATATACTGTATTGAACAAAGGAGTTATTATTATTTCTAGCATTATCATTATTAATGGTAGACGTCATAGTTAAGAAACTATTCGAACAAAGACATCTTCCGTAAAAACTTTTAAGACCTTACAGACGTAAGGTGTCTTTGTGCTTTTGAAATACTATGGCCCATTAATTTTACTGAGCTACAACCCTAGTATTTTATGAATATTTTATTTGCAGCAACTTTATTTATGATAAGAAAAGCGCACAATAGATATGTACCATGAAAAACGAAAATATGGCGAAAAGGTAGGAGAGAGAAATTTATACGATGATGACAAGAAAAAGAAAGGAGTTCGACCTAAAACACAATTAAGATGATTTCATTCGTTTCCGTCTTAAATCATGTTTAACGCATTCTCAAGTCAATAAAATAAGGGGTCTCTAGGTTGTTAGAATCCCTAAATATGAAGTCAAATGAGATTAACTTTGCTGTCATATCCGATCGAAAACTACAGAAATGGTAATTTCCAGGACTAATTTATGGAAAATTATTAAGATTATATTTTTATTACATAGCTGTTAACTAGGTTATTATATATTTATGTTCCTGTTATCATAAGCTTACATTTAACCTATTGGCTACCGTTATATGATTTACTATCCTGAATTCGTCGCCGGTTTATAATTCACAGTCTCCCTTACTCGCAGCCACTTTCGACGTGCTCGTAAATAATCATTACTTTCTATTTGATGATGTGATGAGGTCTGGTCTACCTGTTTTTAAAATATATCTGTCTGAAACATGTACATAGTTGGGGTTGGTCACTGATTTCTGGACTTAAGGGCAGAACAGAGAGAAGGCAGAGAATCGTGAACCAATGAAAATTAAGGTTATTAGTGCTGAACGAATTTCAATTGGTCTTTTTTGTCACGTGAAGTTAGGCAGTGTCCATAAGTCACAAAGCTACCATTATGTAGGGTATTTCATAACTTTAATACCTAATACTTTTCTCACCATCCTAGCGTCCGCAAACAATGGAAACTATAAAGACGTTGAACTATACGTTTTAAGACTTTTCCCCCTCCTCAAACACACATTGCAAAACTTCAGAATTACAAATACAATGGCAACTTGGATAAGACTATTACTTATGAAGTAATGATGATAAGACATAGAGAGTACTCAAAAGTCCTAGATTTGCAGAGACTAGGGTTAAAATACAATTAATTCAACTGTCAGAATCATGCAGTTGTACACTTAGTTCCCTGCGACCAGAAAAACTTTACGGCAGATCCTTAAGTAGGTCTGATGAACACAGATAGTTTTAGTTTTGGCTGCATGCAAATTGATTCCATCTGGCACCATAATCAGTACTTACAAGCTACCCATTTACACGAACCTGAGAATATATTTGGTGGCCTGGTAAAGGCTACGAGAACAGTAATGGACTCCCGTCAGTCTTGTAGAAGTACTTCACATTTTCGTAATTTCAAGTTTTCATTTTACTATATCCTTGTCCTGGGACTGGTAAGGTTGCAAAATAAAAGAGGTTCCGTATCTTACTTTGTGCTTAATATTGCACAAATACGCAGCCACTTATACCGAAGATGCATAATGGCGCTAAATATGAAGTATTCAGTTGTAAAGCTAAGCCGAAGAAGGGGTCCCCGACCGTTGCTGCTACCTTGACGTGGTGGCCGGGCTTGCCTATCGTGATGGAGCAATCGAGCTATGCTGGCTGGAACAATCGTTCCTCGAGGTCCTACCATGCCAGACAGGTCGGTTGAAGAGCGGTAAGACTAAAAGCAGCAATCCCAAGGTCCAAAGGCGAAGTCGTACTGCTGACTGTACAGAGGTGTGACAGCAGTAAGGTGTTTCCTAGAGACAACCAGCATGACAGCGATACTGCCTTCCCACAAGGTGGAGTGGGGTTAGAAAAGGTCGACCCTAAAAATGCACACCTCGCCTTATCCAACGGATTTCCGTCTGCGGCGGTAAGGTCCTTTGAAGAACGGAGCTAACATTTCAAAAATCCCCCACAAAAAGGCCGTGCGTGACCGGCCTCAAGCAGTTGTCCCTTGGGCACTGCGGTCACGCTCCCAGGTCGTTAAGACCAACACTAATCCAACTTCTCTTTCAGGTCCCTCAAGAAATACCCTTCCACGGTGTGGGCAGCCGGGAAGTGATATTAGCCCTCATACCCGTAACAGCACACGAGATCAAGTTGGTCACATTCAAATCCTTCCTACACCTCCTAATAACTCTCTTATCTCCACGACTAACCCTTCCCACGTCCTTTTATCACCTCGCACCGCTAGGGCAAACGATTCAAGTACACGAAACGTTATTCCTGGTCTCCTGAAACCACGCTCTAAACTACATATAGGAACTTTTAATGTCCGAACATTGTGCCAAATAGGACCACAGGCTTCCTTAGCCAGTTTTATTTTTTTTTATTTATTTAAACACATAAATATTGGTACAATGAAGCACCAGATAAATATGCGCCTCACAAATCTCATTCGATTTGTGTGAGGGCTGTGATACTGCCCAGGTGCCCAGACTGAAGCAGGTGGTTTTCTTAGGGGGCCACACCCGGAGCCTTTGACCTAAAGGTCTGATCCACAAGGCAGTGGAGCATCATGAGGAGATGCAGTCCCATGGTAGCCGTTGACCAATGACAGGTTCGTCCGCCATTCGTTCCATCAGGATACTGGAGCCCATGTGCACCATTGGTTTGGAATCAGGGTTTTCCAACTCCCCTAGGTGGACCCTCCGTGTCCACCAATCCGGTTATAGCGCCGGACATTCGCTTTTCGTCCTCTCACTTTCGTAGACAACACCCCCGCCACGAGAAGGCAGTGAGTAGGACTTCCCTGGCAGAGGCTATATATTCGCTGGCCATGTGAGAGTATTTCGAGAGGGAGAGGTGACTCTCCCCACTCTCGGCCGTACCAGGGCATTGGGGGGCTCCTTAGCTAGTACTCTAGAATCTTACACCATCGATGTGTGCTGCGTCTCCGAAACGCGCATACAAGATCAGAGTAGTGTCATTCATTTGACCTCACTATGTCGTCATAAAGAACCATCTCGATACACGCTTCGTGTATCTGAAAGCCCTGATGCTGCTTCCCGTGGCCTCGCTGGAGTAGGTATAGCATTAAGTCCTAGGGCAGAACTAGCTCTATTAGACTGGATCCCAGTAGACAGTCGTTTGTGCGCTGTCCGATTAAACGGATCAGTAAGAACTCGGAAAAATAGGGAAACTCGTCGTTGCCTCTTCGTCGTCTCTGCCTACTCTCCCACCGACTGCAGCTCAGACGATATAAAAGATGAGTTTTGCAGGAAACTTTCTGACCTTCTCCGAAAAGCTAGGCGTTCTGATGTAGTAATAGTGGCTGATGACTTCAATGCTCAAGTAGGTAAACTAAGTGAAAGGGAAAGACATCTAGGTGGACCTTATGGTGTCGTGGCTAAAAGAACGGATAATGGCGACCGTCTGTTGCAGCTGTGCTCAGATAACCGCCTATTTCTTGCAAATACTAACTTTAAGCATACGGAAAAAAGGAAAAACATCTTTTGACATGGCGACCCCCGAATTCGTCCCAACGTTGGACCCAATTAGATCACATCGCTATCAGCCACCGATGGAGGGGCTCGATAGAAGACTGTCGCTCATTCTGGAGCACATGTTTAGACTCAGATCATGCTCTAGTGCGAGCACGTATCTGTCTGCGTCTTACTGGTCGTAGGAAAGACACTGCAGGGAAGCCTCTAAGGGTTCTACTTAATGATAGGCAAGCTAAGAATATATTTCAGGAACGACTGGAAAAACAGTCAGACAGCCATGTAAATTGTGCCCACCCCGAGGCAGCGTGAAATGACATCCGAAAAGCAGTGGAAATAGCAGTGATATCTGCAAGTACGGTAAACCATATGATTAGAGAGAAACACTGGATCTCAGCAGCATCTACCTCACTGATAGATGCTCGAAAACTCATCCCACCTGGCTCTGAACATAACGAAGAGCGGAGTCAGCTTAAGCGAAGGCTAATAAGAAGCCTACGCAATGATCGTGAACAGTGGTGGGTAGCGAAAGCAAAAGAGATGGAAAAGGCAGCGGCAATAGGTAACAGCAGACAACTATTCAGACTTATTAAAGAAACCGGCATTAAGAACCCAACTATTAGCGAAACTATCTCAGACAAAGATGGGCATACCATTCATTCTCAATCCAGGAGATTGGATCGATGGGCAGAACACTTTAGAGATCAGTTCAACTGACCTTCAGCCACACTTCAATTAACCACGATCCCCAGTCGTCTTGAATGGCAAATTGAGGTAAGTCCTCCAACCCTCTGTGAGGTTGAAAAAGCTATAGGAAATCTAAAGCGAGGGAGAGCAGAAGGCCCTGACAGGTTGACCCCTGAGATTTTTAAGGATGGTGGTCCAGTACTAGCAGTGAGATTGACTGAGGTCTTAGGTAGAATCTGGGAACTGGACGTAATTCCATCTGACTGGTCCCAATCACTGATTGTGCCAGTCTATAAGAAAGGACAAAAGTCCTCCTGTGACAATCACAGAGGGATCAGTTTGACTAATATAGTGTCTAAAATATTAGCTTCAATAATACTAGGTCGACTAACCAAAGCTCGTGAAGAGCAGACTAGAGAAAACCAGGCTGGTTTCCAACCTGGACGTGGTTGTATAGACCAGATATTCACTCTACGTCAGGTTCTAGAACATAGACACACATTCAGACGTCCCACAATCGTAGTATTTCTTGACCTTAAGGCGGCATTTGACTCCGTTGATCGTGAGGCTCTATGGTAGTGTTTGTCACTGAAAGAAGTACATTAACCTCATAAAGGCTCTCTACTCGAACACAACTGGTCGAGTTAGAGCCTATGGCGAACTGTCACCAGAATTGGTTACCTCAAGTAGTGTTCGTCAGGGCTGTCCACTCTCCCCATTCTTGTTTAACTTTGTCATTGACATGCTTTTAGAGATATCAATTTCATTACTATAATAATCTCTCCACTATATTACGGAAAAGATAAGATAAATGGAGTCTATAAGATTTGTTCATCGAGTTTCGCTCCGGTTTCCCGGACTTCATAGTAATACTTACACATTATATGTGAAATCTATTCAAAAAGGTCATATCTTGAGGATTAAGAGAAACATACTTCCTGGAAATCTGCACAAGTCGAACGACGTACAATCTTTATTACTTTACCTAGGCTAATAGAGCCGTTATGTAAGACGAAAGAAGTCTATCCATTATTGCTCGCGAATAAGCGGTTATTCACAATTGATTTTCCAAACACAATATCTGTACAGATACAAAGTTTTAATTACTATTAACTCGAGAAGGAATAGGCCATAGAATATATCATACAAGATTAATTATAAGAATACTGGAGCAGAATCATCAGAATATATGAAATCGCAAGCCAAAAAATAAATTAAATAAGGAAAAGGCAGGAAATGTTGAAAATATTTAATTGTTGGAAAAAACGCTTACGAATTCTGTCGTAAGTTTCTCTAATTCTTTTCGATAACATTCAAGCCGATTTTGGAATTTGGAGCGGACATCGGAGCGCATTTCCTGGACTTCCAGAGACATTTGTTCAATTAACTCCTTCGTCTCGTCAAAAAGTATTGACACATCATGTACTTCTTTCGCTCTTTCACCTTATATAGTAGATAAAATTAATTATTTAGCGATAATTAGTCTGAAAAATTAAAAAAGAACATACCACCGTTTAACTGAGGAATTTTTCCTAACTTAAATGTTATGTCGCTAGTCAGATTTCCATACTGTTTCTCATAAGACTCGAACAGTGACATCGTCCTTGGTGTGAATTTTGCGCGAAGGTCACGACTACTTCAAACTTTTCCCTGAATGTCGCTTTCGAACTTAAGAAGCTGCTGCATTCAGGAACACCATAACACTAATCCTAATGTTAACATTCTAATTATTAACGCTATTGATATTGCATTGTTTAGTGACATAAAGGTATATATCTAATTACGCAGTGGTTCAGACGGAACTACAGAACATTGGGGGTTAAGGTCCAAGATGTTTTTCCATAGCCACTATGTCATTGGTAAAATGGAGGATCGCCGTTTCAATGATAACTAGGTGAAACAGTCAATAAGTGGTACGAATCAATTGTAGAACTGACGATAACATCAGCATAGATCATCTTAAGGCCACTTATTTAGAAGGAAATATCAGTTATGTCGACTTCTCTCCTGAACAATAGAACGATAGGAACGCCATGACAACAATGTCATAACTAATAATCGATTACCACAGATAAAATCTGCTGGTATCCGATAACCGGTCGAAAACAACTGTCTGTAGAAGAACGGTACGTTTCCTAAAATCCTTTGTTAGTTATGCCTATAATTAACCAATCAAATCGTTGTTTAAACACCCATCACGTCATCTAGTCCGATGTGTCTGTAGGCCATCCCTGTCCCATGTGACCCTCCAATTGAAGGACATTATTATCCTTTCACATCAGTGTGTGTCATAATTTTTATTTATTTCGATAAGACACTCAATACTCGTCGTTGTGTTTATGCGTTTCACCTAGTGACTATAATTCCCTTAATTATTGTACGAATCGGTTTGTTTTTACGTTTAGAAACAAATAAAGTTGAAAGCCAAGATATCCCTGTTCTAAATATAACTTTCACATAAACTCTTGGTCGTCAGTATCGCGTTTACAGTTCTAGCAAAATATCTGTAGGACAAATTAAATCCTACACCCTTTAACTATTACACGAAGGAAGACTAGAAAAGACGGAAAAACTGATAAAACACACGTTTTTATTGTTACGTTGTACCAAATGGCTTAAGTTGAGGGAAGACGATCGGATGCTGCTTGACATAGCGGCTATCAGGAGAGTGTTCACCAAATACAAGATGGTTGGGTTTAAACTTCTGGCCGTCCACATCTTGGGGCCATCACTACTCTATTAGGGTGAGTGAGCTGTGGTGATAGATAGATTCCCAAGATAAACGGTTCTGACCTCATCAAATTCATTGGACAAATTCTAGATGAAGGCGTTCGGTCAACAAATAACGGTCCGCAACAGATAACGATTAGATACGTCGAGCTACTCATCCATTGAAACTGTTAGCTAGCTTAGACCAAACTTATCAATACATTAAAAGCTTTCGAAATATATCTTCTGACTCCTTTATTTATGAATCCTGGCTTGACTGGGTTGATATCCTTTAACTATAAAGGTGTTACGTCTAAATAAGTCAAACTCTGAAGACCTGTGACATACTTAGACTCAGTAATTCAACTGTCCGTACAATCAATAGGGTCTGTTAACTGCCTCAGTAGCTAGTGCGCGATTCATCGGGTCCAATAGATTTTCCTATTTCAAGCTCATTTTATGCTCAAACACAATTAAACGACAAAGAAAAGGGGCAACATCCCAGAATTATGGAGAGACAGCAATAATACATAATTAATAAGAGACGACTGTAGTGAAGCCAACGTATTCTCAATTACTTTAGTGACTACTATACCATGGAGATGCCCCCTTTCAGTTCATGCACCAACACATACACTCTCTGGATTATATGACCATTAGAGAACCCGATATCTTTGGCTTGCTGAATGAGCTTGAAATGGGAAAATCTATTGGACCCGATGAATCGCGCCCTAGCTACTGAGGGAATTAACAAACCTGATCGCGAACCTGTTGGGCATATGTCCTAATCTATCTTCAACCGCAGGTAGATTGTCAAAAGACTGGGAGAACGACACACTAGGTCCTGTCTTCAAAATAGGTACGAAACACAAGCCTGAGAATTATCGACCCTTGAGTCTAACCAGCGTGGTTGTTGGAATTTTAGAAAATAGTATTCGGACATTGTTGGAACGATGAACTTCATACTGTCAGTGGCAACAGCAAAACTATGAAAAGCACAACCGGACAAATATAATCGTTTTTGAATGTGAATTGAATTACTGGACGTTTTAAGTAAGGATAATATGTGACCATTAAGATCACTCAAACTGATAGGATCAGAACTACGGTTTGTTACCACTATTGGCAAAATGAGCGGTAGTTTTAAAAACCTGATTGATGTGACCCATTTCACCACACTTGAAGCGTATAGAATCACAAAGTGCACATGAACTACGTGGATGAATTTCGCTTGTGCTCACCATTGTTTACTACTCCGCAGTTCTTCAAAGAATTGATTCACACGTTTTCACACAAATGGAGTTAGTCGCCAATTAAACGCCTGTCCATATGAGCTTGAGTACCAATCGGATTAGGACAACTAAGTATTGTATTGGAATTTTTGTTATCCTGGAAACCAGGTCAGTGTACTGTCTTCTACATACATGTAATTCTGGTACCTTGTTGTAGACATTTTGGTATTTTATAAGCTCTCCTTTCATATTTGATATCTTAATTCCAGCAAATGATTAAGCTCTCTGCTTGACATTCAGTTGGTTACCAAGTTTACACTTATAAGCTTGTTTCCCCAATTCCAGGATATACTCATTAACCTTCTCCTTATTCGGACAATTCGTTTTACTAAAATTTGTCATTTCACAGCTTTAGAATTTTGTAAACTTCATGTGACCTGATTGTAGTTCATTGAGAGCTTCATACGGAAATGACATAAGCTAATATGGAAATGCCAAATTTTTAGCAAGCTGTTGAAATCCATCACCACAAATGTAATCAACTGAGCCACATTTATTAGTGAGTCATGAAAATAACCGTGTCATCCTCCAAATCTTTTCTGATCGTGATCTCGTTTTCGAAATTTCGCGTTTTGTTCTCGATTGTTTCAGAATTTGAGAGATTAGTGCATCTGTTCAGTCGCAGGCTTCATCGCAGCCCAACTACGAAAATGTTAAGTATTCAAATTGATTTACAAACCAACATTTCCCTGAATGGTTCAATATAAGGAAGTTAGATAAAAATGAAAATCTGCCTGTAGCTCTTTTACAGTTACGGCTGGTCTAAGGACCGTGTAAAGGAATTGTATCGGCGAAACCTTACCGTAGATCTTTCTAAAAAACGCCAACCAGGTTGAACAAACGAAATCGTCTAGACTCTTCCCTTCAAGTTGAAAGAAGTACCATGACGCCTCAGAATGAAAGCCGAGATAGATGCCACTCCTAATAACCATAGCAACAACTTTCAGAGGCACACACGATGTCCGAACAACGTAGAAAACTGTGAAACCATTCAAATAGCATTGGAAATGAGGGGATACAAATTCGCAGTAATCGGAATCAGCGAAACCCATTGAACATAAGCTGGACAGCAAAAGCTAAATATATCAGAGATGCTGCTGTACTCTGGTCACGAAGAGGAAAATGCTCCACACACTCAGGGAGTTGTTCTGATGCTGTCCAGAGAAGCACGAGATGCACTTGTAGGATGGTAATCTCATGGATCCAGAATTATCAAAGCATCGTTCAAAACAAAGACGGATGGGATCACAATGAACGTTATCCAATGTTATTCACCGACTAATGATAGCAACGACGATGATAAAGATCAGTTCTATGAGAGGCAGCGACCAACCATAGGGACGTGCTCAAGAAAAGACCTCACCATCCTGATGGGAGATCTAAATGCTAAAGTTGGAGTGGACAACACAGGATGTAAGGATATGATTGGACGACATGAACTGAAAGAGAGAAATAAAAATGGGGAGAGATTTGCAAATCTATGTGCACTCAGCAAGTTGGTTAAGGTGTCACAATGTTCTCACACAAACGCATGCACAAAGCTAGATGGATCTCGCCCGACCACACCACAGAGAACCAGATAGATCATATTTGTATCAACGAAAAATTCCGAAGGACAATGGAAGATGTGAGAACAAGGAGAGGAGCTGACATATCTTCAAATCATCACCTCGTTGTGGCCAAGATGAAACTGAAGCTAAAGAAACACTGGACAACTGGGCTAACAGCATTACAAAGGTTCAAAACAGCCTTCCTACGAGATATTAACAAACTCAACCAATTCAAGATAACTCTCAACAACAGGTTCCAAGCCTTACAAGGTCTATTGAATGAAGAGGAATATACCATGGAGAACAACAGGAAAGGGATCAAAGAAGCACTAAGTTTAACGTGTCAGGAGGTTCCGTGCCGTGACAAGCATCGTAATAAGGAATGGAAATCCATCGAAACCATGGAAAAGATTCAGGAAAGGAAGAATAAGAAGACAGCAATGAATGACAGTCGAACACGAACAGAGAAAGTCAGGACACAAGCTGAATACACAGGAGTAAACAAATAAGTGGGGGAAGAGCATTAGAGCTGACAAGCAGAAATACGTCGAACACCTAACAACGACAGTAGAAAAAAGCTAAGAGAGAAGGAAATATGAAACAACTATATGACACTGCCTGGAAACTGGTAGGGAAATATCGTAAACCGGAGAGACCAGTCAAGGACAAAGAAGACAATCACTGAAACTCAAGAACAGAGGAACAGATGGGTAGAAAAGTTCGTGAAACTGTTGAATAGACCAGCCCCATTGAATCCACCAGACATCGAAACAGCACACACAAACCTTTCTATAGATGTCACTCCACAAACAATGGAAGAAGTCAAGATGGCCACCAGAGAAATCAGAAGTGGAAAAGCAGCAGGACCTGACAATGGACAGGTTGGGTGCAACTAGACGATTTGTCCTATATATACGGACAAATGCAGATGAGGACAACCAGTGTAGCAGCAACTTTTCATCAGTAGCACTTAACATACACAAGGGAAATAACAAAATCCTCAAATACAACACGGAGAACACCAAACCAGTCACGCCTGATAACGAAACTCTGGAAGAGGT